CAGGCCATTCTATGATTCTATGATTTTGTCAGGAAGCTTCTCAGTAAATTAAGACCAAAATCAGAAAATAATAATAATAATAATAATAATAATAATAATAATAATAATAATAAAGGTTAGTCCTGCATATTTTGAAATGATTTAACTTCTAATCTTATTACATGCAGTGATGTCCAGGCAGACGTGCTCAGCAGGGGCGGTGATGAGGGGTGCTGCTCAGTCACGCTGGGCAGGGATGGCTGCAGCGGGACGGGCAACAGCAGTGACTTCTGTTGTGACTTCAAACCCTTCTATTTATTTATTTATTGTGGATACAATAAATCGAGTGGCTTCATTCCTTATTGTTCCACACCGGGCATCTTGGAGCCTCACCTGCCCTCAAGTGTTCCCGTGCTGTACATATCCCCTCAGCCTCGCTCTTCGGAGGGGCTCACACCACAGACTCCTTCCTTCTCGCGTGGGAAAGGCGACACACATCCATCAGGGCCGCTACGGACGGAGAAAACAGGGCTGCCTCGCCTCCGGCCCTGCCACCGGGGAAAACCCGCCCGCCCGCGGCACCGCGAGGGGCGCCCGATCCGCGAGCCGTAGGATCGAGCTCCGCCGCGGCGATCGGCGGCGCCGCCCCTCCCCTCACATGACCGACGTCGACGCTCTTGCCGCGCCCGCCTGCCCCTCGGAAGAGCCCCTCGGCCGGCAGCATGGCACCGCCGCGCCGCACCGCCGGCCTCGCGCTGCTGCTGTTCCTCGGCGCCTGCGGTGAGCGGGGCGGGCGGCGTCGCGGAGTTGCGGAGTCGCGGAGTCGCGGCGTTGCGGGGTGGGCGCGCGCGGGCGGCGCGTGCCGCTGTCCCTGGGGCACGTGACGCGGCCGCGGGCGGCTGCCGAACTGCGGGCCGGCCGGGGATGGGCCCGGCGTGCGGGGCGGCCGGGGGGGAGCGCAGCCGGGGCGGCACGGCACGCGGGGGAGCGGGGCGGGAGGAGCGGCGCGGCGGAACCGGACCGTGCCGGGCGGTGCCTCCCCAGGTCGGAGCGGGGCGGGGATCCCGCTGCCCGCGTCCTCCAGAAGGGAAACGGCAGGTTGTGGGGCAAAAAAAAAAAAGAAAGAAAAAAGGAAAATAAGGAAGCTTTAATCGGGAGGCGGGCAGCTCTGTGTGTGACGCGGGAGGGGGGCATCACCCAGAAGGGTTGCGGCGCCGCCCGCCCCGCCGTGCGTTCGGCGGTTCTTCATCCGCTCCATCCCAGCGCCTGCCGCCGAACCGCCGACTCGGGCAGCTTCCCCCGGCCTTCCGCCTCGGTGAAAGCGGCGATGGCAGGGCGAGAAAAAAGCAAAACCAGCCCTTTATGTCCTGCGTGCGCGTCCCCAAGAAACGTATCGCCGAGCGGGCGTTGCGAAAAGCCGGGCTGCTTTGTGCCAATAACCTGCCGTGTGACCGCCGGCTTCGCCGCCGCCGGCGCTGTTACGCAAGCGCTGGGCCGGGCGCTGCTCCGTGCGGCGGGGCTTCGGGCCTCTGCTTTTCCATCTCTGTGCGATAAATGTGGCGGTTCAACAACCCGTTGCCGCGCTGTGCTCCGTGCCGGCTGCTCTCAGTCTTTGTCACCTTCTCCTGCGTGTGTTTTGGGTTATTCAGAGCAGACCAAGTGCTGCTCAGTGTGGGGAACGTGTGTTTTCTTAAGTCATTTCCTACTGGGGACAAAACGCACCAATATCTGCTTTTACAGTTGTGGTTACTTGCTGTCAGTATAGCTAAGTAGGTCAGGGTGTGCCTGGTCTGCCCTATGAACCTGCTTGGTGTGGCATTTCTCTTTGCTGTTGTGTCTAATAGCACCTATATTGAAATATCCCCTTTGGAGAAGTTATTTTCAAGCTGTTTTCTCTGTAAAGAGAACAGAATTTCAGAATACAGAATTTCACACCCCTTTACCCTTTTTCCTCAGGAAGGTGGAAGAGCTTTGCTTATGTAAAACAGCACTGAAAAGTTAAACAAATAAAAATCACAGCATTACAAAGCAAATTACTGAGGCATTAATATCAAAATCCTCTTTGGTTTATGCTCCTTTTGTGCCTCAGTGGAGTCATTCTGCGTGCCAGGCGACGTGACCTGCAGGTGTGTTTGTATGCAGGCACCATGGCTGGCCTGGCTGGGTTGCAGTGGTTGCCCAAAACTTTAGATTTCTCACGTTCTTTCTGAACTGAGAAGGGCTGGGATATAGGTGCAGTGTCAAATCCCTCCTTGAGTCAGAAGGGAAAGAGTTTTTAGCGTTGCTGGAACTCCAAAGTGACTCTTGGCAACGAGTTCTGGTGCTGTGTGGTGGCAGATTGCAGAGCTGTTATCTCTTGGTTGCACCATAGATCTGCGTGCAAACAGTAACCCTTCAGAGAGCCATGCTGCACCGTTGCTTTAACAACGTGCAGGTGCCTTGCCTGGGCATGAGATGTGCTGCTTGCGTCTGTTACCCTGCTTACTGAGGATCAGGAACAAAGGAACAAAAGTACAGATGTTACCGCGAGACTCAGAGCTTATTTAATAAGTCATTCCCTGAGCTGCTGGGGACAGGGTGCAGGTTTATGAGCCTCCTGTAAACAGAGTATGGCCCGGGTTACTGAATGGGATGCTTAAGTGACATTATTAGGTATTATGCTTGGTCAGGTGGGGTGATGTATTTGCTAGCATTGCTGAAGCTAGAGCTCCTTGAGGTTTACTGCTTCAAGTTTAGAATAAACCACATGAAAACCCTCATTGACTGCCTTGTCCGTAGTCTGAAGTGTTCTTACCACACAATAGTTACATTAGGGTTTGTTCTAGCACTGATAAATTAATGTGTGGTATTGAGCACAATTGCTTCAAAGTCAACGCAGTCAAGTTTCTCCCGGCTCTGCCTTGGATGCTTCTTACCGAAGGTGCTCCAAACAGCGTAAATGATGCAGGCTGCACTTGAATGCTGGTACAGCCAACTGTCTTGTGTGCTGAGCTTTGTGTTGCTGGTAGAAGGGAACTGTACTGGGCAGGGAAGAAGTCCTTAATGTCAAGGTAAAGTGTGATGCAGAGTGTGAATTCTGTGTGTTGAGGGGTGGAAGGCTTGAATGGCTATTGAAGAGAACTGTGCAATCACAGTTCCCATCGCTTTAAGGAAATGAGCCTGACAAACATCAACCTTACGTTAGTCAGGAATGATTCTTCTCGTATTTCAGTCCTGTCTGTTTTAGGGAACTGCTGCAAACTGGGAATGCTGAGCAAAACCAAATGAGAACCAGCTTTGGGGAAGTCTCTGTGCTGGGAGTCAGGCTGGGTTAAAAATCCAGCTGTGACAAGTTCTCTAAAGCCTTGCATGAAATTTAACACCCAGGTCCTTTGAGCCAGGAATTGTAGAAACGCAGTGAAAGCACACTGATCTTTCTTAGAGGTCAGCTGGAGTCGTGCCGTTGATGGAACAACATGGAGACTCTGGACGACAAGCACGACATTGTTCTGAATGCCGTGTTCATGCAGTTTGGTTTACTCAGTTTCAGTCAGCAGAAAGCTAATGCTCGTTTAATTTGTTGGCCTTGGTCAGGCAAGAAGGCTATAAATGATCCTCTCAGTATTTAGCACTGATAACTTCATGTTAACTTCCTAGTTTTAACATTTGTTAGGTATCTGGCTATCAGTTCCGTGTCTGACAAATAGAATCCAGTCTGAAATAATGTACTACTTCGTAATGAGTGTAAAGTCTATGTCTTAATAGCTAATAATTGTATCTTACAGGCTTTTTCCAGTCCTATGCAGTGGAAGTAGATGTAAAGGATGCCTCTAATGTTACATGCTTGTACGCACAATGGATGATGAAATTCTTGATAAAATATGAGACAAACAGTAGTGATTATGTAAGTATTTGGAGCTAACTTTTGCTGAGAACTGCGTTTAGTCTGGGATAAAACAATTTGATACATTTTGTATTTAGTTTATTGGTTTTCTTTATAGAGGCAATTATTAAGAGTGTTCCTAAACATCCTAAACATCATCCCCCCATAGATCCCCCTAGAAACCCCACAGAGACCCCAGAGAGCCCCACAGAGACCCAGCGTCCCGGTGCGGCCCAGCAGAGCCTTCAGCTGCCCCAGCGTGAACGGCCGCACCTGGGGGGCCAGGGGGCATCAGGGTTATGGGGGGGATGTGTGGGGGGAATGGGGGGATACGGGGGGGATGGGTGGTATAGAGGGGTATAGGGGGATGGGGGGGATATGGGGGCTATGGTTCTCAATTAATAATACGAGTATCCTACTGCACCTAATAGGCATGCTGGTCTAAGGTGGTGGGTTTCATTTATCAGTGTAGCAGCATTCTGAGGCTAAACGGTGAATGTTAGTTGTGCTTTGGTGTAGTGGAGTTTATCAGCCAAGTTAAACCTGCAATTTTGTTCTCAGACCTGATGTGGCTCCCTTGTGAGCTCGGTGTCAGGCAGGTTATTCTACAAAACGGTGGAAAAGCCTAAAATAATCTTACTGGTGTTGTGCAAGGTTCCATCTAACTCTAGCAGGTTTCTAAGGCTGCCATGGGGAAGAATGGTTATCTGAAAATAGTGCAAACTTTTTTCTTTTAGAAAAATGCAAGCTTGGATTTGACATCCGCTGTGACACACAATGGAAGCACTTGTGGCAGTGACACACAAGCTGCGCTTCTGGCAGTGCAGTTTGGAGATGGTCACTCTTGGAGTGTTAACTTCACAAAAAGCAACGAAACTTACCAGGCTGAGTTCATCACATTTACCTACAACACCAATGATACTGCTGTCTTTCCTGATGCTAGAAGACAAGGTAGCATTATCTCTTGTTCCTCACCTCGCTCGGCTTTTCCAAAGTTTGAAGTACTGAGAGTGTATCTGATGACTTCAGTGCAGAATGCTGCTCGTAGTACCTGTGTACTGGATAAGAGTGCAGACTAGTTAGGTTAACTAGTGCCTTAAGTTAGCTTGAGTAGTGCCCTTAGGTGGAACAGAAAGGGGAGGTTAACCGTTTGAACAGGTTTGATGGGGGGATGCTGCTAGCACGTAAGAGGGAAATATAAGACTGATTTCTGTTTGTTCACCTTCTGTGAAGGAAAACAAAAAGTGTTAGGGTTTCTGTGTATGCTTAGTTCTATCAATGTGGGTTTTTTCTTGAACAAAGACTTAGTGTTCTCCTTTCTAAAGACTTCACTGTGTCACATCAGGTCAGAACACATGGATAAAACATTGAAGAGAGGCTAGGACCGTTAGACTTAATTCCTGTTATTTCTTTGTCTTGTGAATTATAGAAAACGTAACACTACCTGTAAATGTTCCTGTGGTAAACAAGACATTAAAATATTTGTTTTTATTTGTAGGACCAGTTACAATTGCTGTAAAGGATGCTATGCATCCAATTCAACTGAATAATGTCTTTGTGTGTCACCATACTACCTCTTTTGAAGCAGAAAACGTAACACAGATTTTCTGGAATGTTACTATGCAGCCTTTTGTTCAGAATGGCACAATTGGTAAAAAAGGTGAGTGTTTCAAATTGTAAATGGGCTTTTTTTTATGGTGTCCTAGTGCAGGGGTGGAATCCAGTAATTAAAAAAAAATCCAACAGTTCTAAAATGTGCCATGTCAAACAATGCATATATGTGTGTGTGTATGTAACATCTTCAACCATGTCTTTTCTTGTTCCTGGAGGAAAAAAAAAAAAGATATCAATAGAGCACATCCAGTTGTGCAGTAAATTTCCCAGCAGTATTCTACTAAAGAGTGCACTTGAAGGTCTTAGGCACCCCAGACACTCCAGAAGTGTTGCTGCAAACTAGATCATTTGAGCATGGAGGTTTTTCAACTGCCATCTGTTTTCAGTGGAAAACTCACTACTCTTTCACTTAAATAATACAAAGCCTGCCTGATAGTTCTACTAGGCAGAGGAGACCAGCACAGCATCCTGCTACATACAGGACATTGTTTACTTAAATTGCAAAAGCAGTTTTGTAAGCATTAACGTTTACTTTTGTGGATGTGTTTTGCTTTAGTGTATTAGAGAAGTAGCATTGCTTGTGGTACGTGGGTTTAAAATGGTGAGTAACGTAGAATTTCTCAGAATAAATTGCAGCTTGGAGGACTGTGCCACAGTGCTGAGCTGGAGACTCTTCACTTGGTGATGAGCAGATGCCCATTGAGCTTAGATTTCAACTTAGAAATGGGTGTGTGTATTAAACTGACTTCTCAGCCATAAGCCTTAATAAAAACTTCATCACTGAAATGGTGGTTAAACCTTCTTTTCAGAGTCTAGGTGTCGTGCTGATACACCTACTGCTGTGCCTACTGTTCTGCCTACTGCTGCCAATGTAACTACTGCATCCACCACCATTTCACCTGCTCCAACCTCCGCTCCCAAACCTGCTGGGAATCCAGTCACAGGAAACTATTCTCTTAAAACTGGAAATAAAACTTGTCTTCTGGCTACTGTGGGGCTGCAGCTGAATGTTTCCCAAGACAAGGTGCCTCTCTTATGCTTTTCAAATTTTGGAATAGAATCATAGAATGGTTTGGGTTGAAAAGTACCTTAAAGCTCATCCAGTTCCAACTCTCCCCTGCCATGGACAGGGGCAGCTCCACCAGATCTGGCTGCCCAGGGCCCCAGCCAGACTGGCCTTGAATGCTTCCAGGGATGGTGCATTCAGTTTCTCTGGGCAACCTGTGCCTGTGCCTCTCCACCTTCATAGTAAAGAATTTCTTTGTATATAATCTGAATGAACTACTCTCTTAGTTTAAACCAGTTACCGTTTGTCTTATTGCTACACAACTTGGTCAGAAGTCTTTTCCCATCTTTCTTGTGTGCTTCTTTTAAGTATTGGAAGGCTGCAGTAAGGTTTCAGTCCTTCTTCTTTAGGCTAAACAACCCCAGATAGCTGAGCCCATCTTGGTCTCTCCAGTCCTCTGGTTGTTTTCATAGCCCTCTGGACTCAATCCAACAGGTCGTGTCCTTATTGTGCTGGAGGACCCCGATGTGCAGTGCAGTACTCCAGATAGAGTCTCACAAGAGTACTGCAGAGGGAAAGGATCACCTCCCTTGCCCTGCTGGCTGCGCTTTTGATGCAACACAGGATATACTTGGCCTTCTGGGCTGCAGCTGTGCATTACTGGCTCATTTAAAATTTGTCTGTACTGGTGTTTTAGATTGCCCTGACGTAGGTGCAGCACCTGTCTCTTGGCCGTGTTAAGAAGAGTAGAAAATTTGCTGTGGTTGTTTTTGTGTGTGTGAAATGTGAGTGCAGAGTGTTTGCTTGGTGCACTGCTGGCTGTCCAGAACTGCTTCCAAGTGTACAAGAACCTCTCTGACCCAAGGGTAATTCTGACACCTAGTTAGCTGCAAACCCTCACCTTGATCAAACCTAACTGGTTACTAGGAATAAATGTAAGATCCTTAAAGGACTGGAACTTTCTTAGGCTCTTGGGGCCTGCAGCTGCTGTCTTTTCCCACAGAGGGAGCCAAAGCTAAGCAGCTAGGTTTTCCTTTAGGCGCTTAAAGGAAAAATGCCCTGGCCTTTCTTTTTATGTATGTATCTTTATTAAGTGGAAGTGAAACTTCACAGGGTGGTTTGTCTCAGCATTACCAACATGTAAAGTAACTCAAGCAGCTTTGCTTAGGTAGTAGCTAGACTTGGTGCTTGTGCTGTCTTCTTTATTACATGCTCTTCCAGCTTAAGACTGCTGCTAATTGAAATAGTAGATTCATGATAGATGCAAGTTAGCTGAGCTCCTTTGACGTGGTGTGTGTGTATTTCAGACTCTCCTGATCAACATCGATCCGAAATCAACTCGTGCAGATGGGACATGTGGTAACACATCAGCTACTCTGAAATTGAATGATGGAAATAGGACATTAATTGACTTCATGTTTGTTGTTGTAAGTAACTTCTACTTTAAGTTTCTGCTTTAACAGCGTTGTGTGATGAGCATTCGTGGTAAAATCCTGCAACTCGCTGCTGATAGGCTGTTTTCATAAAGGAAGTGAGACTGACTGGGGCAAAAAGGTGTTTGGGATGAAGTTCTGGGAAATGTAGGACTGTGGTAAATGCACTAAACTTTGGAAATGTGTTATTAAAATTGAAAACGCAGAATGACACACTGACAGTTGGTTCTTGCTTGTTAAACAGAATGCAAGTGCAAGTGTACAAAAATTTTATCTGAAAGAGGTGAACGTTACACTACTCAACCATCAGAATGGTTCTGGTAAGTAATGCCTGCCTGTAAAGTGAATGTAAACTTCAGTTTCTACATTTCATCTTGTGCTTCTGATCAAAATACTGTTCATGCTTACTGTTACTTCCAACATGTAAGTCTTTTAGCTGATATGAACAAGAGTGACAAGCACAAATGATTGCAAGGGGTCGTTTGAAACAACAGTGCAGGGTTGTGCTGAGTGTGAATGAATGCATGTGAATGAAGCCTCTTCTTGATAAACATAAATTGTGAGGGCTTTCCTTACATTACAGTTCTCAGTCACATAAAATTGTGAGGTACAAAGTCAATTGAAGCTTTTTGTTTTTCCTAAGCAAGCTGTTTCTATGCTTGAAAATGATACAGTATTTTCCTGTCTCTTCTGCTCAACACTTCAAGAACTCAGGCATACATTTTTCTTCCAAATCAGAAACATATTTTTAAATTGTCACAGCTACTGCAATTAAAAGAGCACTGAAGTGCCTGCACTGCATCTTTGTAGGGATGAGTGAAGGGATGAGAAAAGCCTGCTGTCATATTGGTATGGAGGATAGGCTACTGCTAAGTACTGTAATATCCAACAGAAGCCAGGCAGTGAAATGAAGCAGATCAATCAAACTTAAGACTGTTTTGTACTTTAGAGTAGCCAAACCTGAAAAGCTGCTCCATCCAGATTAAGCTCCTCAGTCCTATGAATGCATTAGCATCTTTCCTGTATTTAAAGTAGGCATGGAAATTTCCTTTTTTTTTTTTTTTTTCTTTCCTTTGTTTAGTCATTTTAAGTGCAGATAACAACAACTTCAGCAAATGGGATGCTTCCCTTGGTAATTCTTACATGTGCCGTAAGGAGCAAACTCTTGAGATTAATGAAGGTCTTCAAGTGCATACTTTTAACCTATGGGTTCAACCATTCCTTGTGAAAGAAAACAAATTCTCAATAGGTAAGTTATTTTATTTTTGTACTGATTCTTGTATGTGCTTGTAAAATTCTTACTTGCTAAAAAGCACCAGAGCTGGCCATAAGCACTTTTGTTATTGTTTTATTTTGTTGAAGCTTTTGCCCCAGTGTATTTTTGTATGCATGAAATTAAACTTCTGAGGCCTACGTTCAAGGAAGGCTGTCAGCTTTATTCTCAATATGTTAAAAAACAAAAAAAAAAAAAACAAAAAAAAAAACAAAAACAGGTCTATTAAGCATTTCACTTCTCCTCTTGAGGGAGCTAGAGGAGCTGAAGAGGGTCTTAGCACTGCCTGACATCTTATCATATAGATTTTTGTAGCTTGAATATATAAGACAGTGGGAAAGAACTTGTATAAAAGTGAACTTCAACAACTTTTGGCAGTTCTTCAGACCTAAAAATGATGTGAACATTCCTAAGGAATAGCAATGCTGTGGAAAAAAGAACTAACAGCTTCTTCTGGAAGCACTCTTACAATATATGCAGGACCAAACAAACATTCTAAGGTGTTTGCTTCGTTATCCTAGTTGTGTCTGGAGAAAACTGGAAAGATTTGAATGAACTTCATTAATCTTTAGCATCTCTTGGTCCTTGTGTTTCATGACTTGCAGGTTAATCTGTAGACAGTCTGGGCATGGATTTTCAAGCTTGTTTTTTTCCTGGGGAGTGGTAAATTGACTCCCCAGATTGTGTGCAGGGTGACTGATCTTTATCATCATATGCTCTGAGGAGTTAGATGGCCGTTTTACCCGTGTTTCTATTTGCAGCTAGCACTCCTCCTCCTCACAGTTAATGGTTTCATCTCACTGTAACATGGCTCAGTTCTTGCTATGTTCTCAATACTAAATCCAGGCTACTTTATTTTTAATTAGTAAATGTACCAGGCTTAAGCATGAAGTAGATAAGCCTTGTCCTGTCTTAGCAGTAGAAGAATAGCTGCTCCCTTGTCCTGGACAGATTTTGTGCCCATGAATGCTCCCACACCAGGACAGCACCTTTAGCTTGTTAGATTGTTAAATGTACAGAATGATTATAATGTTTAACATATGCTAGAAATACCCATGGGAACTCTGTAGTTTGTTCTTTCTTAGTATAAACCTGTACAAATACTTGATTTTGTTCATCTTCGTGTTAAGGAAAATAGGTTTTTATACCACACTTGGCAAGTATTCTGTCCTTATTTATTCCTTGTTGCAACCTTTTTCTTATCTACAGCCCAGGAGTGTTCGCTGGATGATGACACCATTCTAGTTCCAATTGTAGTTGGTGCTGCACTTGCTGGCTTGATTGTCATTATAGTGATTGCTTACATAATTGGCAGAAGGAAAAGCTATGCTGGATATCAAACTTTGTGAATCAAAATGTAATCACTGCTCTGATTTCATCCTTAACGAAGCAAGTGCAAGTTCCGAAGTCCAAACAAGCCCCAAAACTTAGACTAAATACTGGCCACAGCTAGTTGGAGTTGAGAAGCAGAGGGAGAATGTTTATCTCAGATGAAGCAGAACTACGTTTTTAGTTTTCCAGCTCCAAGAAGATGACGTGAGTCTCATACCTGTTCTGAAGATGGCAGATATCACTATTGATAAATGACCAGGCCAAGGATTTTATTTTGAGCAAAACCTTGAAAATGTTTAGGATTTACCTTTTCTTTTTATAAATTGCAGCCTGAAATGGAGCACGTTCCAAACTGATGTGCACTGGGCAAATCCCAGAATTGCATGGGATTTGTACTTGCTTCTCTCTCTGCATTCCTTAGTTGTCATATTTGTGGGTTAAGCTGGCAGCATTAGTCACCATGTTGACTCATGTAGTACTACCACGGATTGTATGATGCCCAGGAACAGCTTGGTTTTTCATAGTTGAACTTCAGGCTGGTGACTGAGTGATTTTTTTCAAGTGGCAGCAGTAACTTACTTAGCTTTGATGGAGTTTGAGTAGTTTACTCCTGCCCCAGTGGTTTTGGAGCCATCCCCGCACCGTGGCTGTACAAACCAGGTGGGTAACCCATCCCTGCCAGGTCTCCAAATGCTTTTCAAAAAAAGTGGTTTGTTTTTTTCCTTTTTTTTTTTTTTAAATGAATTGTTAGGCATGAATTCTTCATCGTGGCATTCCCCCAAAATACTCAACTGAGGCAGAATTCTGCTAAATTCATGCAGGTTTTTTACTGGCATCAATTTAAAGGGAATAACCGTTCTAAATAGTCCAGAACTTCAAAGTGCACTTAACTTTATACTTTGCACAGAGCTGGTCTATCTTATCCTATTGCTTTGAATGACCATTGTAACTTCAAGGATGCTTTCGTTCAATGAGCCAGTATCTGTTGCTGCAACTTGAGCTGTCTTTAAGTCTTCATCTGGAATGGTTCTCTGCTAATTGAAATCCACATTATAACATATGTCTGCCCTTGACATTCTCAGTGTTTAATGTGCTTTATGTTTGACTGTGTGCTGTGTACCTTTTATTAATGTTAAGAATGCAAAAGCCAAACAAGTCTGAGATGGACCCACTGCGCCTATTTTTCCTGCTGTGTGGAAAGGCTGACTAGCTTAAACATACAGTGCAGATGGACTGTCCTTAAGCTGCAGCTCTGTAGAGAATAACCCTTGCTGCACAACCTTTTTCTGTCCTCTTTGTGCTGTAACAGTTTTTATTGCATGGAAGAAAAAAAAAAAGAAAACTTTTCCAAACCATGTGTGACTTTTTACTTATGTCATAACACAAGCTGCTTAAGCTGGTCATTTAACAATCATAGTTGTCTTCTTTAGGATGAGTTTAGCCTGCAACAAAGCTGGTTTTGTGTTTTATTAGTGTTTTCTAGGGTTATTGAGATGTCTGTGGCATGTTTGTATACAAACCACTTCTTTCAGTAACATTTTTTGGGTGAAAGCTTTCATCTTACCACTAGCTAGGGAAGCAAGAATGAGTGGATAAAGCTTGCTATAGCTTGTAGCCTACAGCTTGGATTTTGCATCAGTTACTGAAAATCATTTTAATGAAAGTGGGGAACGACTATAAGTTGAATCTCAAAACAGACTTCAAGACTTTTTAATTAAAAAAATGTCAACTAGTGGCTCTAATTATTTTCTGCATTTAAGGATATATTAATATGAAGTTCATGTAGATTTTTTTTTAGCATTTTACTGACTGATATTCAGCATCACCAGATAAATGTACGCTTGTGTTGAGGAGTGGTCACCACAGTCCTCATCTGAGCGCGTGAGCTTTCGAGCTGTGTTTGGTTTTAAGTGATGAAGTGGAAGATGGGAGTGCTTTGCACTAAAAATTCAGCAAAACTAAATGCCTCCTTGCAAAAACCTGGAAGCTGATCTTCATCTGCAAGTGTGTTGGCGCCGAGATGAAAGTCCTCCTACGCCGCTGTGCAGTTACCTGGTTCTAAAACATCTCAGTTTCACCTGACTGCCTGTTATAAAGCCACCAGATTTCCTGTCTGTGTTGCTCCATAGGGAATTGTCAACCTGCTCAACCTGTGCTCTAAATAATAAAGATTGTTCTGTTTCTTAAGGAAACTTGTTCATACTTTTTAACCGATTGGAAAGCAGACATCTTGTATTATCTTTTCTATAAGAAAATAAATGAGTAAGGCCAACTTCAGTCAGTCTATATCTGAGCTTCTGTTGTGTAACTTGTGAAGGCACTCCTCACAGAGTCCTTGGTTGCCTGTGTCCTAATGTTTTGCTTTCCAGCACATTCTGAAGTGTGCTTGGGTGCAATCATCTAACAGAAGACAACTTGAGAACTAATTGAAACTCTGCAAGCCTGGTTCATCGTTAGAAATTTGCCTGTAAACTATTTTGGGAATTGCAGCTCCTTCCAGACAAGATACCTTTCTGATGTGATTTTTGCTAGCCCTCTTAAGCTGATGTACAGCTGTGAAAAGTTCAGCTTTTCTTTTTGCAGTCATCCTGGGAAACAAATCCCTGCATTTAGTGAAAGTAGGGAAGCACTGGGGCCTTCTGGGAGCTGACTAGCAGCTTCATCCTCCAAGGGAGAAGCAGTGTGATCCTGGCTGTGCTGCCAGTTCTTCTGGTAGCAGTACTACACAGTGCTTTGTTTTTCCTGCAGCAAGAGACATTGGTCTTCCCTTTACCATTATCTGTATTTTGAACTCTGTGGTGATGAGACAGAAGGAACAGGTGCCATCTAATGCTGTACCCTCCCTGCTCCATTCTAGTCTGCATATAGCATCATTAAATTATACCTACCTTCTTGTTTGCTAGCCAAAGAAAAAATAAAATTATTGTCTTTCTGAAATGTAAGCTGAGGTCAGCTGAAGCTTTTAAATATGAAGGATAATAGATATTTCAACAAAAATCATAACAGCTTGCATTCTTAAGACATGAATCCAGTGGGACTGCAGGTATCAAGCTGCCATCAGCTCGTTGGTGTGTGCCAGGCTGGATGAGTCTATGACTAAACTTGAAAGAAGCAGCAGAGCAGAAGTTACTGTTGTCCTACAGTAAGCATAAGGACTTGTAACTTTAAATCTAGGTTTTTAGTGCCTACACAAGGGAAGCCTGCACATCGTGGTGTAGTAGGGATATGCAATAGCAGTAAATGTGCAGTAATATACAGATACCAGCAAGGGAGGTGATAGAATTGGCAGTCTGTTAGCATGATGCTCCGGAAGGGGGGCTGTTGCTGCTGTACTCTGGGGAGAGGGAGGAGGACAAGGGAAAGATGAGTGTTTTAATGTCCTGGTGGGGCGAGGATAACTGCTCTAAATGAGTGGAGCATGATCTTGGTATTAAGCATATTAAAATGCATTTCTTTTTCAAACTTGCCCTTTTTCTATTTAGCTGAAGACTGCAGCCCAGAGGTGGACTACTTCATTGTGCCTATAGCAGTAGGAGCAGCTCTGGGAGGACTAGTTGTCCTAGTAATTATGGCTTACTTTTTGGGCCACAAGAAACACCATAATACTGGATATGAGCAGTTTTAAAAGGGGAAAGTTTTTTACTTGCTTGAAGTAAATTACTAAATCTGAACTCAAAAGACTCGGAGCAGCAGCTCTGCCCAGTCAGACCACTAAGCCAGCACATGGCCAAGGACTGATGGAATTCATTGCTGCAGTTCCTATTTTTTCCTTTACAAATAGCACAGAGCGTATCCTGGTTCGTAATCAACTGATGAACTGAGTGTTTTTTTCTCTAAAATGCTACACATCAGATCTCAGAATTGTGAAGGCATGCAGTGGCATTATATGAATAAACGTGGTGGTGTTCTGGACCGCGGAGGCGGTGTTTGATGTGTGCTTGTGGATGTGCAGCATTAATGCAGATCATCTGTCATACACTGCGGTTTGTTTCGATTGTTACTGACTGTGCCTTATATACAGTTTACTAAATGTTGTAACTGTGCTCTAAGATACCAAGATTTCTGGTCTTTTAGCTTAAAGATGCCATGGCAGTAGTTCTCGTGGATTTTTTCAGCCGGTGAATGAATGCCTCCTTTTAAAAAGTAAAATCTTACTGTGGTTCTCTTTATGGAATACCTTAAACCAATCGGGGGGGGGGGGCGGAGGGGAAGACTATTAGTTGCTTCTGGTGATTGTAATTAAGAGGGAAGATGACTTTTCATATCATGCCCAAAAATCTTGGTAGCCAAAATTTCTGATTATTTTGAACGTCTGTTCAATGAAATGGCTAAAACAGCCCCATTCATACGGCCTGAGCACGGAGTCTGCTCATGGTGATGTGCAGTTGTCCAGGTGTGTCTCTGCAGATGCTTCTCTGAAGCTTCTAATGCTTGTGCTGTGGCAACACGTGGATACGTGTGAGCCAACAGAAGTGGCAAACTTATGAGAGCTGAAAGATGGGATGTTCCTGGTATCAAACATTAAACCCTTTTTGTACCACCAGTTAGTGTCCTGCAACAGTGCTGTATTGTAATACGTGTTAAAGCAATTGATTTCCTTTTAAGAAGAGAAAAAGGGAATTTCTTTGCTGTCTGCTGGGTACCTTTCATCCCTAGCAAATTCTTTTGTAGTAACACCCATTATCCGGCATGTAGTAATTAAACTGCGTCTGTTGATCTCCAGTGATCCACAGTGTCTGAACACAGCACAATTGAAGCTTCTCTTTCGAGGTACTTCAGTCCTTTTTTCAGCAGTCGGAATGACTTCACTTAGCTTGTGGTGGAAGTTACACATTCTGTGCCTTTTTCCCCACTTTGGAGCATTGCTCAGATTGGCAGTAGGTGCCTTCAGCTTTGCCCAGCTCAGTGTTCTTAGATGCTGAGTTTCCGTGTGTCTTGCTTACCTACCTCCAAACAAAAGGCCTTACACAGCCTTTCTTGGAAAGTTGCTGTGCTGGACTGCAAACTTCCCATCACCAAGGCTGATTCAGATGCTCAGATAGCTTAAATACTCACTTAACAGCCAATAACTTTGGGCAAAGTGTGATGCTTACTCTGCTCTAATATAAACTCAAGCAAAAAAAAAACAAAAAAAAAAAAAAAAATCAGAAAATCTGCTGCAAAAGCAGAAAGCCAAGCATCCTTGCCACCCTTGCAGTGCTGGGGCAGCGTGCGGACACGGTGTCTCACCTTATGGAGCGTTTCCTCTTGGCACCGTGCACGCAGGGCTCTGCTCTGTCTTGACATGGCTGCAGAGCGCTAAGCCCTGCTTCTGTGCCTGCTCACAGTGCTCCATGGAGCTTGGAATGAGTTCCCACTGTTGGTCACTAAAAGTTGCTCTCAGTGTTTGCGTCACTCAGGAGTTTATGGCATCCTTTCCAACTGGTGTATTGAAAGCACTGTAGCATTGCAGCTGTCTCCTCTTTGTTCTCTTCTGTTGGTTTCATTCCGGCCCGCGTCACTCTGCTGACATCGATAACACCTTTCTTGTATTTGTATGCAAAATAAATAAACTTACCCACCCACAAAGATTGTCCCTTGGTGTTTTCCATTCCATGCTTTCATTACGTGTCCCTGGGCTGTCCTTTGGATTCCTCAGGACTTGGTTTGATTCCTATTAGCCGTCTGCATGTCCGAAGCCTTGAGAAATGGTGGTGACTGGGGGGTTTGGGGAATCTCTTGGAAAGGCAGTGCTGTACCAGCCCGTGTTTTATGTCACTTTATTGCTGTTAACTGAGTTGTGAGTGGCCAACGTGCTCAGCCCTCTGCCTTGTCCATACATCCCTCATGCATCCGTAAGTGCTGCAAAGCGAGATGAAAGGTAGTGCAGAAATTGCAAGAAGAGTTTTGCCAGTGCAAATGACGTGTAGTATGTGTTGAAAGAATCTGCTCAATACTGATTTTACTTCAAATGTATTATATATGTAATACAATGTTCTCAGAAATGTTGTGTCTTTGCTCCTTGCTTTACTTGGTTTCTGATGCTCGGTTTCCTTTACTAATTTGTTCTCACTTCCCTTTTTGTTCTTTGTTTCTGTTTTTTTTTTGTTCTTTCTGCAGCTGAAGAATGCTTTGCTGATTCTGACCTCAACTTTCTTATTCCAATCGCAGTTGGCATGGCACTTGGCTTCCTTATCATTCTTGTCTTTATATCTTACATCATCGGAAGAAGAAAAAGTCGTACTGGCTATCAGTCTGTATAATTTCTTAATTATTTCTCTGCTGCCGCCCCTGTGCTCTTCTCCTCACCTGTCCCTTTAAAAACAAACAAAACGTTCTTAGGTTTTTTTATTCAAAATTAAAAAACACATCACAACAAAATAATACAGCATGAGATGAATTGGAAATTTACTTGAAGCTGCTGTGTGGTTTTTGGAGAAAGTGTTCTGAGGACCATGGAAGTGAGCGGGGTTACGTGTGTCCACGTGAGAGATGTGATTGACTACAGATGACACTGAGACCTTCCTTTTGTTGTTCAGTCCTTTTATATGAGAAAATTTCTAGTTGTGTACAGCTATCAGATATTGATAAAAATCACATGATAAATGCTGCACTGGTGTGGGAAAATGAAAACAAAGCTCATGGTGCTTCTGTCTGGAACCTGGCTTGTGGCTGTTTGTCTTCTTTCATCGTTTAGCAGCTTGTTCCTGTGAACCGGTCTGAATTCCCTCCTTCTGAATGTAAAGAGAGTACCTCACTAATAAATCAACCTACTATGAGGAGAACGTTTACTCTTCTAGTAAATTCATGTGTTAAAGATGAGCATGGAGAGGCTGACTGCTAGTGTGTTTGCAATTGCTTTGCACTAGCATGCCTGTAACTCCCCTGTAAGATGAGACTCAGTCCTGGAGAGTTCTCACTGCTCAGGAAAGCCAGCGGTCCACCAAAGCTCACATTTTGTGTTGCTTTCTTTGGCCTTCTTCGCCTTTTCGTTCTGAATTCAATTGTGGAATGAGGATGGGAGGGTGGAACCTCACTGGCAGCAGGTTGCCTGAGCTCCAGTCTGTGCTAAAAGGGACTTGTGAGAAGAGCAGGCAGCACCGGTCCCCAGCGTGAGGCTTGGATGTTCTGAGGATGAGGAGCGCGTTGTGCCGAGATCCTTGCAGTTCCACTGGCAAAAAGGGGATCGCTGAAAAGCTGCAGTCTAGGAATTTATTTATAGGATTAATTTGGCTTTAACCTCCTAATTATTACTCTCCCAAACAAAATTTTGAACAGGGTAAGAGCACAAGATCTCTGGTATGAGAAATGGTGAGCGTGAAGCAGAAACTCTACGGTAAAGAAAGTGACTTGTAAAGGAAAAGAGCACCTGACTTGTGCAAAGCTGCTTTTCCTGTTCTCTTTTTCCAGTTCTGTGTTCCATACCAGAACTGTACTAAAAGAGAAGCTCGTGGTCTGTGACTGAGTGCTGCTTTGCTCCCACTGGTGTGTGTTGGTCAGACAGAGGTGGCTCTTGGAGCTGCCTGGAGTTACCAGGGATGAGCCCCTCTGCTCTGCTGCAGCAAGTGCATTCCAGCTGCAGCTCTGTGCCCAGGTTGTAGACCAAACTGTCTCTCACCACTTCAGCATCACTTGCTGCATTATTTTGCTAAAATACGGCGATTTCCTGGATGTACAAGCATTTTATACATATATATGTGTGTAGAAAGGACTGATCTGGACTTCAGTAGAGGTCAGAAACGGAGCCGGCACTTTAAGGCTGTAGCATGAAGAATGACGTATACAATTCTCCAGGTGTTGGAATGGACCTGTGAGTGCAGAACGTGTATGGAGAACAAGCTGAACTCTGATGGTGGTGCAGTTTTGCTTTAGCATAAGCAGGCGTGCATTTCCCAGGGCTCCTCAGCAGCCCTGTGGGTTGGCCTGAAGCAATGGGGGATGTTTCCCTTTGGGATCCAACAGAAGGAAGAGTGCTTTAACAAACCTCCCAGTGATACCTATGGCTGTAATTTATTTCTGATGCCAAAAGCAGCACCACTGCAGTGTCTGTCAGCAGAAGCTATTCTCTGGTTAATATTTTTGATGGTTTTTAAGAAACAGCTGTTGCTGGATGGTCGGCTGTGATACCATAGCATGAGACTTCTCTGCACTGAGCTTCCAAGCTCTGTGGTTCTGGGAACTTACTGGAGCTCAGGATTCACTGCTCGCTGTACTTGCAGCTGTGAAGGTTGGTCCCCTGTGAGCAGAGAAGGGGCTGAAGTCACAAATCCCGCTCGGGTTTTAAGAATGATACCATAGAGTTAATTAGACGGTAGTCACTTTATTTTTAATAAATACAAAAAAGGGCTTCTTAGAGACTTATATAGATCAGCAGTGATGGCAGATTAAGTATCTGGACGAGGATGTAGGGCAAACATACCACAATGCTCTCGTTCAGTCAGTAGTTTTACTAAGTGTGCTTTCCTAAGTGCATGGTCCTAAGGTGTCCTGTCCTGATTGTAACTGAGAGGAGAAATACGCCCTCTGTATGTTAAATATGAAGGCCAGTATAATAAAAGATCTCATTTTCCAAATAATCAAAACTAAAGTGAGTGCCTGTAGAAACAGTGTTTGCCTAGATGCTGAAATCACCGCTGTGCCTTGCTGTCCTAGGGAACAAAGATAGCAATCAACGTGATCATCGTTAACACCGAGGAAGCCTTGTTGAGGCCTCTCAGGGCTGGCACAGCTGCACTGATGGTCCAGGAGTTGGGGATGGGGCCAAGCAGCCTTTGCTGCAGCACCCTGTATGGGCCGGGCGGGCTGAGCTGCAGGCAGGGTGCTGCTGTTGCCAGCAGTCCAGTGGCACTTTGAGGTTTGCCATTATATCTTGTTAACTGTCATCGCAAGCATCGTCCAGAATGTTTGGTGTTTGGTATTTGAACAGGAATAGTACTGATAAACCACCATCTCGTTAGCTGTTGCCTGAGAATTGCACCTAAAACTATTGTAAAGATTAAAACAGAGGTCACATGTAAGAGATCTTATGGGAACAGTGTTCAGGTACCAGAGTTCTTCTAATAAAAACTGAAATGCTTTTGCAAATCCTCTGCCCAAAGTGTAACTTTTAATATTTACCAATCATGATTTATCAGATGCTGAAAGATGCTGTCGCATCTCATTTGTTTCCTAACTATTAAAAAAAAAAATAAGTTAACAAAAATTTCCACATGTCTCTTTTCCTAGTGGGAGAAAAAAGGAAAAAAGGAAAAAAAAAAAAAAAAAAAAAAAAAAAAAAGCTGTCTTTATGTTTTAAAAAGGAAAAGCCTCTGACTGACTTAAGCTCATGCCTTGTGTTTACTGGCTACTTTCCGATGCTGAGTGTGAAGATGATCCGGCCCAGGAAGCGGTCGCTGTTAACATCATTGATGATCCCTTTCCCGTTCAGCTTGCACTGAATGTGGACCAAACTATTCCTCTTCACGTCTGTGAAGTGCATGGCCACCAGGGGGGACGTGTAGTTGACCTGAAAAAGAGAAAGATGCGTTCTCTCCAGAGCAGAAAAGCAGGCAAGGCTCCGTTGTGTTTGGTGAATACCTTGAGTGCTTCACCGCTGTGGGGAAGCTCAGTGCTTTTTCCTATGCCCATCATCACTTCAAGCACCAAAGAAAACCCCCAGCAGTGCAGGCTGTTGCTGTCAGGAACAGTTGCTGCTGTTCAGCTGCCCTCTGCCAGCTGCCCGCCTTGCAGGGGTTTTGGCACAGCTGCCACTGAAGGTTCTGGGGGACTTTCCCTCCACGCCACCCCAGCACACCCTGCCCCAGCACCCTGCTGTTGGGAGCTCTGGGGCCCTAACAAAGCCTGTTCTGGTGCTGCGGGAGCTGAATGTGACCATCCCCGCTGCTGGAAGGGGGAAGGGGTGTCCCTGAGGGTTTCCTCTGGTTTGCCAGGGATGGAAATAGAGTGCTGCAATCCCAGTGCCTGCAGCCTCCCTCCTGCACCTGCCCAAAATAGCCAGAAACACACCTCTGTGCCCACTCCTTTCCCAGGAGAGGTAACAGCTGCTGGGGCATCTGTGTCCTTACTTACGTGCGTGAGCTTGCCGTAGTAGGGGTAATACATGAGGTCAAATGTGCCATTTCCAGGGTAGAAGTCCACTGACCTCAGATCGCTCTCATTGCCTTTCTGGGATTGAAACAAAACAAAGGCACGGTGTGTGGGACACAAAATGCACTCCCCTTGCAGGGAAGTGAAGGAACTTTAGCCCCTGTCTCCTGCAGCTCCCCATCCCTGCTGTAACAAGCAGAGAAACCTGTGCTCGGAGGGCACAGGCAAAGGTTGCAGAGTGCTGCTTGCTGCTCTCTGTCTGGCTATTTCACTACTGCAAGAAGGGTATGGACCAGATGCACTGTGTGGGAGCTGCTCCTTCCCCCTGTGCTGCTTGCAGAGCACTCTCGGGGTGGGGGCTGTAGAGGGATGCAGCTGTTCCTAATTCCTGACTGTGGGATGATGGGAGGGGGTCTGAGGGGCACAGACGGCTGAAGTAAGGGCACAGGCACAGCAGTACCTGCACTTTGCAGTCCACGTTCACAGGGACCCCAGCGCCAGGA